CAAATGCTGCCCTATTTATCTCAAATGGTTGATTATTCTAATGTGCACAACTCCGTAGTGTTACTGCTTCCCTTATAAAACTGTCTAATGTCTGGCTGAAAATTGAGTCATGAGTTTGTTTCATGACTCAGTCCTGATGGGTTGGTTAATAAGGAGTCTCACCACTCTATCCAACAAGTAAGTCTTTTTTTTCCCCCTATGATTTTTAGCTTTGTTCCATATTTTCTCTCATACTCTTCAGGGCCTTCTACTATGATCCCCTTTAAAGAAGTTGGTCGTGGTAGCTGGGCACCATCTAGTTCTTCTGGTTTCAAGGTTGTGGAGACAGATGTTCATTTGGTCCATTAAGCCATTGGACTAATTGTTTCCATGTGTCTGATTCTCTTCACTCTTATTCCCTCTGGGCCAGGGGAGATCAGTAGTCTCCCTGTACATGGCTGCTTTTGGCTGTTAAAACTCAATTTGCTACTCAACCAAGTAGAATGTAGAACACTTTGTGGGAAATGTTATGCCAATTGACCTTGGTGTCTCCCAAGCCTATTATCTTGAGTTCTCAGGCCCAGTGACTCATGCCCTCAAGGTGTTCAGTTGTGTCTAAGGTTTCCTAACTTTCATCCTGTGTGCTCCACCACATTCATAGGCATATTTCCAGTAAAGCTAAATACCGTATATACTTGAGTATAAGCTGACCCGAATATCAGCCGAGGCACCTAATTTGAAAAACTGCATTAAAAATGTGTTGAAAAACTCAGCTTATACACGAATACATATGGCATCTATTTATAAATATCCTCTGTGAAAGCTATATATATGTCCATGAGTATACTCCCCTTCTTCCTTGTACACCTGCTCAGTTTGCATGTTTCTCCAAGCATCTACTTATAGATCATACTTATTGCAAATTGTCCAAGTACGAGTTTTGAGTGAGTTTATTCTCAACTTTGAATAGGCAATGCTTAATAAATAGGATTCAGCATTTATGATCTTATAGATGGTTACCTTTTGGAAGAAACAGGTTTCAACAAAAAGGTCAAGGGACTCATAAATGATGAACATCTAAGCCCTAGATGATGGTTACAGTGCTTATAAAAAAAATCATCTGCTTCCTGAATCAAATACAAGACAGACAACATATTGTTTACTACATGTGATCAGGCAAGACCAGTCCCTGGGAAAGGACAGTCTACTTGGCAAAGTAGAAGAGCAGTGAAAAAGAGGAAGATCCATTAGGATTGACATAATGGCTGCAACTATGAACTCAAACAAGTGGCGAGGACAGCACAGGACCAGGTAGGGTTTCACTCTGCTATACACAGGGTTGCTAAGAGTGGGAACCAACTTGGTGGCACCTAAAAGCCACCTCCACCACCTATGGGAACAATAGAGCTTATTAGAATTTTTTTTCACGAGTCAGTACTTGCCATTTTGGAGTACCGAAAGAGAGAACCTGGGAATGAAGGAGGGAAGTTGCCATAAAAGGACAATGATGACCTTAGTGAGAATCTAGCTCAGAAGGTGGGTGTACAGGAACCATGCCCACCACCATTAGTAAGCACGGGGCCACATTCAACTGGTTCTAGCCATAAGCTTCAACTCAATGTGTTGGTATCCCCTCTAGACATCCCTGGCCTCCCACTCTACTCCCCTCCAAAGAATCCAAGAGTCAGTAGCCCAACTGCAGTAGAAAAATATTGCATAGGCACAGAATCTCATTCAGCCAAGCATTTATTTCAAATCTAAAGTACTTTCTGAAGGAGAAACGGGCCAGACTCTGGAGTGGAGATGACCCAGGGTGGTCCAATGTACTCTATTTTTACAAATGTCTGGTAACTCCGGGGAAGGATATTGAGGATTAGGGGTGGGGGAGATGGACTTCTGCTAAGTTTGGGTCCACTTTCCCTTATTTGGTCTTGGTCAGGTGGGAAGTGTTATGGTGATGTCCTAGGTAATGGTAAACTGTCCTGGTGCTAATGGGTGTGATTTTTATTATTATTATGGGCAATGTGGTGTCTCTAGGTCATTTTTCTTCCCACTGTGCATGCTAAAGATGGGGGGAAGTTCTCTAATCACAGGATCCTTGAATTAGTCACTTCTACTGCAGTTTATCAGCTGAATTCTTCTTGGCTACTGTCTTTTTTTATTATTTTAATAAATCATTTTATTGGGGGCCCTTACAGCTCTTATAACAATCTATATACATCAATTGTATCGTGCAAATTTGTACATATGTTGCCATAATCATTTCTAAAACATTTTCTTTGTACTTTGAGCCCTTGGAATCAGCTCACCCTTTTTCCCCTCCCTCCAACCCTCGTGAACCTTTCGTAATTTATAAATTATTTTTATTTTCATATCTCCCACCAACCTCTGTCTCCCTTCACCCACATTCCTGTTGTTCATCCCCCAGGGATGGGATGGGGTGGGGTGGGGTTGTAAGTTGATCATTGGGATTGGTTCCACTTTTTCCCCCTTGTCCCCCCACCTTTCTTGCTACTCTCATTATTGGTCCTGAGGGGTTTATCTGTCCTGCATTTTGTGTTTTGCGAGCTCTTATCTGTAACAGTGTACATGCTCTGGTATAGCCAGATTTGTAAGACAGAACTTGGTCATGATAATGGGGGGAGAAAGCATTAAAGAACTAGAGGAATGTATGTTTCATCAGTGCTATATCCTACCCTGGCTGGCTCATCCCTTCCTTGTGACCTTTCTGTGAAGGATGTCCAATTGTTTACAGATGGGTTTGGGGTCTCCATTCTGACCCCCTCATTGGCAGTTTGCATCAAAGCTGTTGTTTTGGGTCTTCTGATGCCTGATACCTGATCCTGTCGACACTATGTGATCACACGGATTGGTGTGCTTCTTCCATGTGGGTTTGTTGTTTCCCTGCTAGATGGCCACTTATCTAACTTCAAGCCTTTAAGACCCAGACACTGTATCTTTTAATAGCCAGACACCATCAGCTTTCTTCACCACACTTGCTAATGCACCCATTTTGCTTTCAACAATCATGTCAGGAAGGTGAGCATCACAGATTGCCAGGATGTTAGAACAAAGTGTTCTTGTGTTATTCTTATGGTGTTTTCCAGTGGAATTTTCCAGCCTCCAGTCCTTTCCCTAACAGCGGTACCATTGTGTTGTTAACACAATAGAACAGATCCATGGAGCTTCTGTTTAGGGAAGATTATGAGGCCTTTCTTTCGTGGTCCTGTTGGGTGAGCAGTCAAGTGCATGCCGTGTGGGAAGCAGAACCAGATGTATGCAGACAAACTCAGGAGCCTGGGAGGCCAAGGTTCCTGTGCAGGAAACCATTGTGTTTGTGGGTTGGAGCTGCATCCCACTCACATTCTCTTAAGTTAAAGTTAATCCCCACAATTTCCCCCCCATAACAATGCCAAATTTAAGGTGCTGTTTTCAAACACATGATCAATGACTATACACTTGGAGGTCAATGGCCAGGTTATCTGCCTGAAGGTTGTCAACCATCTAAGGCAGTGGTTCTCAACCTTCCTAATGCCAAGACCCGTTAAAAGTTCCTCGTGTTGTGATGACCCTCCAACTATACAATTATTTACGTTGCTACTTCATAACTATTATTTTGCTACTGCTATGAATCGGAAGACCCTTGTGAAAGGGTTGTTCAACCCCCAAAGGGGTCTGGACCCACAGGTTGAGAACTGCTGAAAGGCAAGCAGACCCTATTGTCTGTCCCATCCTGAGTAGGACCCACTCCCTAGCTCTTCCCCCTCCTGTTATGTGTATGCCTATCATACAACCCCTTCCTGTTATGTATGTGCTTACTGAGGCCTGCGTGCTTCCGATTATATAAACTCCTGAGATTACATTACTCTCTCTGCTCGGACCTGGCTCTTGAAGTCATGACTGAGAGGTGAGCCCTTGCATGCTGCATCTTGTCGGATGTGTCTTTCATTTACCCCTCAATTACACAACCGCCCCTTAAACCCATTCAGTTGTGGGAGACTGGTGCCCCACAATACCATTTGTGACACTTGTAGTCGTACAGTTCCAAAAATTGGATTTAAAAAGTGCCCCCAAAAGTGTAGTCCTTAACAGTCAGCAATTTTCAGTGTGATTCCAGTTACATAAAGCAAAACCAAACAAAAATCTCACCTTTGACTTACTTTGAACTGTTCATCTGAGGATGGGCGTGGGGTGGTGTTGAGGGTGTGGGAACGCCTTAAGTGAAAAAAAAAATCCTCTAAATAAACTAGGTGAAATACGGATCTCTTGCTCATAATTAGCCAGCATACTTTTAGTTTGCTCAAAACTTTTCCTGCATAGGAAGTTGTGAGTTTGGGGGAAGGGATGGTCTTATATGAATCCTCTGGCTAATTCAAAGAATTCCTTTTCCTAAAACGTATCTGGGCGACGTGACCCTGCCCAGTAAAACATAGTCCATGTTGCCTAGGCTTTATCTGAGCAACGCCCAACTTGGCCTAGGAGGATGCACGGGACACAACCCTGGCTGTCAGAAGCCTTGTGCAACCTCAAGGCCAACGCCTCCCTGACCAGTGACTCAAGTTCCTGGTGTTTCACTGGACCTTTCAACATTTTGATCGTCACCAAGGACCATCTTCACAGTTGCCACAACGCCATACAGCAGTCTGTTGAGAGTCCTGCTCCCCCACTCAACCAAGTTGTTGAAAGAAACTAGGAAAGGGAAAGGAGAGAGCAAAGTCTCTGGCACTGGACTGGTGTGGGAACGTCCCATTCGTTTCGAGGGGAGGAAGGGACTGGGATGAACCATTAGCCACAGCGGACTCCATTTACGAGGGCCTGGTACAAACGTCCGGAACTTGGGCCACTGAGCCTGAGGGGCGGCGCCGGCTGGGAGCGAA